TAACGGAGCTAAACGTGATCTGCTGAGCATAAAATTTGCTATGTTACGCACTTGTAAGACGGAGTCAACATATGCGGGTGTAGCGTCCTCTTAAAATTCTATATTTCTACTTGTGATATGATGACGTGATTCTACCAATTACAAGTACCTTATTTCAGTCCGGTGTCCCTGTTATGTCGTTTATTTAAACTATTTGAAAAATTAATACTAAAGCACATATCACAAACAATAGAGACAAAGTTGATAAAACAACAGGCAGGGTTTCGAGCAGGAAAATCATGTAAAGGACAGGTTCTAAAGAGCAAGATTACGGGGACAGCTTTTGTGGATCTGGTGGATCTTAGGTGTGACATTAAACAGAACACTTATTTACAAAAATCATTGTGAAAAAACGTTGAAAAAAATAAACACAAGGAATGGAATAATACAGTAATTTATTAGTATAGGGTCTAAATGGGAAGCAGATCCGAATACATTACGAATATTAGCCATGGCATTATGTTTCTCTACGGTAGAATATGTTTGCCTTATGTGGAGAAACTCGGTACATACTAAAAAAGTGGATAAAGCCACAAATAAAACACACCGAATAATGACAGGATGTTTAATACCTACCAAAACAGAATACGTAGATGCTGAGTGGTATAGCAYCACTACAAATTAGACGTGATGTCGCAGCAGACATCGAAAGGACAAAGGCGAATGTGGAAGAGTACAAGACGATACACATATATGTATATGAATGTCCTAACTTCGAAGGGATGTGCAGCAAAGAAGATATGGACGAGAATAATGACAACGCCATACAATTGGCGTATATTATATTTATATAATTGGCTTACTGGATGGATAAAATATAACGGCAAAAGTGACCAGACACAAAAAGGAGGAGAAGAAGAAGAAGATATATGTATATATATATTATATATATATGCGTAAAGCTTAACTAAATTAGTACTAACTAATCATTAATATTACCTACTATAATATATTAATTTTTATATCTATATTTCGACAAGGTCAGTGCGACGGGTTAGAATACCTTGATAAAAAATGAAGAAAAAGCATAAAAATGTTTATTTGACCTAGTTTTGAACATGATCTTTGTACGTATTTATTTTAGTTTTTTTACTACACGTTTATTTTGACAAAAAATTTCTTTTATAGTACTATATTATTAAGTTATAAAATTTAATGAATTTATTAATTTGAAATTTGAAATTCATATTCAATAAAATACAATTTTGTGTCAATCTTAATTCAAAAATAAATTTCATAATTTCTTACATCAATAAAAAACTACTCAATCACTTAATCACATCATGATATATTATATTTTAATTATATATCTTATCAAATATTAAAGTAGGTAGGTACTAGGATTATAACGAGTCTTTATATTATAATTATATATTTATATCATAGATCCCGCATATAGGTACGTATTTTATCTTTAGTTATTATCATTTAGGCCCTGTGTCTACATTTAGTTCACAAAGGATGTTAGCATGATTCAATATTTCAGAATAATTATTTAATTTTTTTCATAGTATTACCGGTTTCTATAAATAATTCAACTTAACGTAATATTTAAATTTGTAAATAGGAATTTTATTACATTTACTTAAAACAGCAATACGGGATATTAATAAATCAATAACCCGGACTCTAAGATATTATTTATCTTTTTTTTTTTTACTGTGATAATCATTTAAAATTAAATTTCAATTAAAAATAGCTGTATGAAAGAGAAATTATAGGTAGTTGAATCTAATAATTTGATATATAGTTCACATATTATTATTGTTGTTTAATGTAATCTTGAAATAACTTAATATTTTTCTTTAAACCTTTTCTTTGTAAAACATTTACTGAAATATTAAAACTAACAATATTTTAGATGATTAATGACTAATAAATAAGAATTTTTGTGGGGATTATAAAAATATACAATTACTAATCTTTAAAATGTGATATTAGGACATTGACAATTTAAGTTTTTAAATTTTGAAAAACTTGGATTTACTATTTGAAAATTGTGATTTGTATCAAAATGCAAATAATGGCAATATGTATGCATTTAAAAAAGCAACTACAAAGACGGTTTCCAAATAAATATTTTAGTAACTTAATTATATCGAGTCGTTTTTWAAACAAATTATACTATTAAGTAGGTATTATTAACTCATGCGACAATGATACGCTTGCAAATACATGTATTTATCCTACTGCATAATTATTCAAATATTAATAAATAATGATAATTGGTACCTGTATAAWTTTATATTACATTTTAGGTAGGATCTACTTCCTAAATACGCTAGAAAAATACTATTGTTTAGGTCATTGTTCTGTTGAACAAACTTCCTTTATTTGTCTCTCCGCATTACATTTGTACAAGCAATTCGCATAAAAGTAGTCTTTTTGATGGCCTCTTCGAACCGCAGCGTTCAATCGTCTCCAAGGCTGTGTAGGTTTAATTTATCATGCAACTATTTATTACATGTCATCCTTCGAATAATTATAAGAGAGAACTCAGACTATTGGTATTATTTAAATTATTTTCAGCTATATGCTTTTGGTTTTTAATTTAGAACCATGAGTTTTCCTTTTTCACATCAATCACCAAATATATGTTTAAGTCACGAAAAACAAATGAGCTTATGGCATAGCTAAACCCTATCYACCGTACCTATTGCATTATGTTATTTAATTTTCCCTGCATGCGCACGCATGTATGTACATACCTGATTAATATACTCGTGTAAACATCAGCAATATTGTAATCACGTATTTAAACTGACATTGTTCTCCTTGTTTTTTGATTAGATCGAGGACATTCTAGACAGCATCGGACTCTCTGGCAGCCTTCACACCAGGTGTGGTAGACTATCCGGTGGACAGAAGAAACGCTTGTCCATCGCTCTTGAACTTATTGACAATCCACCTATTATGTTTCTCGATGAACCCACCACGTAAGCTCGTCTTAAAATTTAACGTTTTACATAATACCTATATCATATTATATGCTAAGATTACTTGTATACAATATATATATTATATATATATATATTTGGTACAAAACATGCAATTATTATTAGGTAGGTACATTGTATATAACTATTAAAGTATTAACCCATCCAGACTCAAGCTCGTTTTGGCATTCGGGGACCGTTAAATTTAAAAAAATACAGTGGTCCAAAAATTATTATATAAGAAAAAATATAGTTTTTGAACTAATTTTTTTTTTAAAGCGCAATAAAAGGTTTATGTTGAATATACCCAGTGACAAGATGAATTGAAAGGGGTTTAGTGGTTATACAATATATTTTAATAACAAATAAACGGACTGGACCGTGATAAAAAAAAATACTTATATWCTCGTATCTAAATAATATTCTATAACAGTACAAAAGTAAAAATATATATTTATGATTATAATTTATAAATTATAATACTCCTTTAATTTTATTATCGTATTATTTTACCTGTCATATTGTATCATTTTATATACTATATATATTTGTTATTATTGTTATTTTAATTAATTCTGTAATCTGTAGAAATAAGTTAATTGTTAAACTGTAATAGTTAATGTACTAAGCTAAAAAAAAGAATGGTACACTCTGTGTTCAAAAGATTATTAAATAMAAATATTATTCAAAGACACGATAAATTTAATACTACTTAAATACTAAATCATTACTTTTCGTCGAAGTAGCAAGCTATAGCGGATATTTGTGGTTAGATTTATATAAGTACCCACTTTTCAACATTTTTTTTTTTT